TTCCAAGGAGTCGTTGGAGGATCGCGGGAGAACCAGAAGGTAAGTCTTTCTAGGAGAATATCGTATAGAGAGTCCAGAACAGTCCATAGGAGTGAACAGTAGACCGGACAGTGAGTGACTGTGCTGTGTGTGTATTTGTAGTGTGGCTTGATTGGTGACAGCAGGTGCGGGTGATCAGAACTGTGACTGTGATCGGGTAATTATCCTGGATGGTGACTGAAGTGACTGTGATGAATCCCTGACACTACAGTTATAAACTACTAATGAACTATAATAGTTTTGAAATTATTTAAGTGCTTGTTATTGTATACTTATAAAATGTTAACTATAGTCTAATTATTTTTGTTTTTGTTTAATTTATTTATAAAGCACATTTAAAACAAACCTGGTTGACCAAGGTGCTGTACAAAATTGCGTAAGTCCATCACCCAAATTAAAACAGACATCCACAGACATTGAAAGCACAGGAATACAAATAGTTTTTAAAAAGACTTTTAAACTCAGACACTGTAGTCGCTGTTCTGATAGATAATGGTAATTTATTCCATAATTTGGGTCCAGCTACTGCAAAAGCTCTATCACTCCTGCATTGCAGTCTAGATCTGGGTACCCATAGAAGATGACTGGTCTGTGATCTGAGTAATCTGACAGGATTTTCAACTCAGTATTGAGGAGCTCAACTCAGTTCAGTATTGAGGAGCAAGATTGTTTAACGCTTTTTATACAAACATCAATATTTTTAATTCAATGCGATAATGAATCGGTAGCCAGTGCTGAGAACGTAAAATAGGCCTGATGTGGTCCCGTTTGTGACTGCCCATGAGCAAACGGGCAGCTACATTTTGGACCAGTTGAAGTCTGAGAGTAGATGAGACAGGCCGCCCATGATACAGCGAATTGCAATAATCAAGCCGTGATGACATAAAAGAATGAATTACAATCTCAAAACACTTTCTACTTACACAGCCATATCACCCTGCAGCCCAAGACTGGTTGCCCACTGAAGCTAAGCAGGGTTGAGCCTGGTCAGTACCTGGATGGGAGACCTCCTGGGAAAACTAGGTTGCTGTTGGAAGAGATGTTTGTGAAGCCAGCAGGGGGTGCTCACCCTGTGGTCTGCGTGGGTCCTAATGCCCCAGTATAGTGATGGGGACACTATACTGTCAAAGAGCACCGTCTTTTGGATGAGATGTTAAACTGAGGTCCTGACTCTCTGTGGTCATTAAAAATCCCATGGCACTTATTGTAAAGAGTAGGGGTGTAACCCCAGTGTCCTGGCCAAATTGCGCCCCTGGCCTTTGTCAATCATGGCCTCCTAATAATACCCATCCACTTGATTGGCTCTATCTCCCTCTCTCCTCTCCACCTGTAGCTGGTGTGTGGAGCGCACTGGCGCTGTTGTACTGTGGCTGCCGTTGCATCATCCAAGTGGATGCTGCACACTGGTGGTGGTTGAGAAGAGACATCCCCCCCCCCCC